CCTCCCCCTCTCTCCCTATTTATTTCAGAACCCCCTTCCCCTCCCCCATTTCTGAAGAAGGATCTAGGCCCAAAACGTCAGCTTTCCGGCTCCTCTGATGCTGCTTGGCCTGCTATGTTCATCCAGCTCTACACCTTGTTATCTCAGATTCTCCAGCATCTGCAGTTCCTACTATCTCTCAACTCCTCCTTAGATTCAAAAATCAACTGGTGTGAGAGTATTCATAGTCCTCTCGGATGACCAATTCCTGCAATTCACTATTGAGGATTTTTTTCTACAACTGGTCCTAAATATCTGACCCTTATGGTGAAACTCTGAAACCTGGTTCTCAATTCCACAGCCATATACCCTGTTGAAATTTTTTGTTTCAGTGAGATCGCTGCTCATTCAATTAAACGCAGGTGATTAAGTACACTGAACCTGTATTCCTATCATAAGACAATTTCCATTCTGAGAATCTGTCTAGTGAAGCTTTCTTGCACTCCTCCTTGGGCAGATATTTGCTACCCTAGACAAGGAGATCAAAACTATACCAAATACTCCAACCATATTCCAACCAAGGATCTATAAAATTGCAGCAAGACTTCTTTACTCATGTTCCCAATTAATTCATAACAGACACCAGAATACTATTTATTTTTTAAATTGCTAGCTGTATTGTTTACTTAGCAATTTATATGCAAGCACATCTAATTGTCACCAAGTACAAACCTTTTCCAATCTCTGGCCGCTGAAAGAAGTCTGTCGGAAAGGAAAACTTTACGTCATGTTTCATCTGTGTTCTTGCCTGCTCATCTCTTTGCATCATCTTCATGGCTTACTTTCTCACCTCATTTTGTATTATAAATAGATAGTTACATTTCTGTCAGTTGTTCCCCCCCGCCATCATCGTTGATACAGATGATAAAATAGCTGAGCCCAAGCATTGATCCTTACTGGACACTACTTGTCACACCTAAAACAGACCTATTTATTGTTTTATTGTCTGCTAAATAATCCTTAATCCATGCTAATATCATTCCCAATTCCATGAGGTCTTCATTTTGTTAACTGCCTCCACTTGTTCCCCCTTTTATTACAATATCAAAATTAATGATGCCAACAAATTTCCTTTGTAAATCCTGCTGAATCAGCCCATTTGTGATGTGTTCTGAGTGACCTGTTAAGACCGTGCAGCAACAGGCTAACATTTTACTTACCATTCTGCTACTTTGCTGATAGATCCCAGGTATCTCTCCTTCTTTCGTTGAATAGCAGAGATGTATTTGCTATCTTCCTGTCGGCAGGAATCAATCTGAAATCTCGAAACCCAGAGGTGAAAGTGCAGCATTACTCAAGTGTTCCTTTTCCCAGGGTACCAAAACAACAGTGTAATAACACTTACTCTTGTGTGTTCTGTTCCTTTGCAAACATTGGCAATATTTCACATTGTTAATTTAGAAGCTGCATGAGGCCAATGCCACCACAAGGTGGAGCACTGCAAGTGAATGTGCAAAACAAATGTTTTTAAACTTGTATCCAGTAGCAAAGTGCCATGTATATTGTTTGGAGCCCTTGTGAGTCGCCTTCAAAGAGCTTGGGAATTCTGTACAGTCTGTTTCCGTGTTTTAACAGACACTGTTTACTTTCAGGTCATTTGCTCAGCTGATTTCTCTTCCAGACGTGCCTGTATTATCCTGCATATACCTAATCTCCGCACTTTTTTCTTTGATTCTGTTTCCAAGATCATAGAACAGTACAGCACAGTACAGGCCCCTCGGCACACGATGTTGTGCCACCCTATTATCCTACTAAGATCAGACTACTCTGCATACCCTACATTTTACTATCCTCCATGTGCCTATCCAAGAGTCGCTCAAAAGTCTCTAAGGTATCTGACTCCACTACCACTGCCGGCAGCGCATTCCGCACGCCCACCACTCTCTGTGTGAAGAACCTACCTCTGACATCTCCCCTAGACCTTCCTCCAATCACCTTAAAATTATGCCCCCTCGTAATAGTCATTTCCGCCCTGGGAAAAAGCCTCTGGCTATCCACTCTATCTATGCCTCTGATCATCTTGTACACCTCTTTCATGGCACCTGTCATCCTTCTTTGCTCCAATGAAAAAAGCCCTAGCTCCCTCAACCTTTCCTCATTCGACCTGCCCTCCAGTCCAGGCAGCATCCTGGTAAATCTCCTCTGCACCCTCTCTAAAGCTTCCACATCTTTCCTATAATGAGGCAACCAGAACTGAACACAGTATTCCAAGTGTGGTCTAACCAGAGTTTTATAGAGCTGCAGCATAACCTCGCAGCTCTTAAACTCAATTCCCCTGCCAATGAAAACCAACACACCATACACCTTCTTTACGACCCAATCAACTTTGAGCGATCTACGGATGTGGACCCCAAGATCCCGCTGTTCCTCCACACTGCCAAGAATCCTGCCATTAACTCTGGATTCTGCATTCAAATTCAACCTTCCAAAATGAATCACTTCACACTTTTCTGGGTTGAATTCCATCTGCCACTTCTTTCCCTTGCTCCGCATGCTGTCCACAACTCCACCAACCTTCATGTCATCGGCAAACTTACTAACCCACCCTTCCACTTCCTCATCCAAGTCATTTATAAAGATCACAAAGAGCAGAGATCCCAGGAAAGATTCCTGCGGAACACCACTAGTCACCGAGCTCCAGGCTGAATATTTTCCATCTACTACCACCCTCTGTCGGACAACCAGTTTTGAATCTAGACAGCCAGAGTTCCCTGAATCCCATGCCTCCTTATGTTCCTATTTAACTTGCTGGCAGCAATCTGACCATAATTAATAGTGAATCACTGCCATTTAAATCCGTAGCTTTTCAGTTATCATAGTTTTTGCTAATTTGAGTTTTAAGGCTATGTGATTTGCAACTTTGTGAAGATACATTAAACTTTTATACATGACATCGCTGCACAGAGATGTGGCTGTTTTGAATGGTAAGGTGATCTATCTCCTGTATTTCATACTCCAATCCACAATAAGTGAAGCTTGGAAATTTATCAGCTGTCTTTATCATGCATGAGTTCCACTGCTTAGGATGTTGAAGAATTATGTCACTAAAACTCCATTTTGATGGGTCAGATGGACCAACTGTCCTCAATGGCAAATAAATGAAATGATTTTCATCTTTACAGGAACTCTTTCTAACCCCTGCTAATTAAAAATGTACATTAAGAAGCTGCATTGCTTGTTTGATAGAAAGGGGTGGATTGTCACTCCCAAAATCAGATTTAATGAATTCCATAAATAATTGGTCCTGATCCATGATCCTTCAAACAAGAATAAAAGCAAGGTACTACAGATTCTAGAGATCTGAAATGAAACTGCTGCAGCAACTCTGCTGGTCTGGTAGCATCTGAGGATAAATAGTTAACCTTTTGAGTCTCTTCAGAACTGAAAGGGACAGGAACAGTTATGTTTGCAGGCTCTTGACAAAGAGGGAGGGGAAGTGAATGGAAAAGGTGGTGAGGATGCCTGGAGCAAATGAAGTGATACAGTTACAAAGGTAGTTGAAACAGATTAGCTTTGCTGAGATGCAAGAATACAAACATCACATAGTGGGGGAAGGGAGTGTAATCAGAACGGAGGACAATGTTTGTCTGAAGGAGTTTAACTCAATGTCAACTCCTGAAGGCTGTAAATTGCTTAAGAGGAACATGAGATGCTGTTCCTTCAGCTTGCATTGAGATTCATTGGAATACTGCAGCAAGTTTAGGACAGAAACATAAGCATGGCAGTAAAATGGTGTTTGAAATGTTGAATAAACGAAAGATTAGGGTCATTCCTACAAATGGAACAGAACCTCCAACTTGTACTCTGTCCACAAGATTGGTCACCACCATTTGTCTTAATCCTGCTGCAGCATTCCTTCAGAGTCTGCAGGACTTGATGCTGAATTTAACAAAGAATTTAAGGTCATTCTGCCCTTCAAGTAGGATCTCCAGACAAACACTACTGGCTTAATATGTTGATCCCTGGGAAATGGAAGCTCTAAATTTAATACTCAAAAAAAAATACATGCACTGAAAACCAGTGTGTCGGTCACCTTTTGCATCTTTAATGAAATCTGCAGCTGTTTATAGTTGAATGAAATGATGTATAAGTGTTGCTAACACCAAAGGAGTTCCAACTATATCTACTTGTTAACTGATCAGCCACTTGTAATTACTCAACATAAAAATGATCAGCAAGACATTTCAATCCAGATTTCCTGGGTGATTGTAATATAGAAATTAATTTTATTTTCTTTAAAAGATGAGTTTCTATAAACCACAATTATTGAATGATTCATATTGCACAATACAAAAACATGGGCAGAATACGAGAAAGTAACCTTGATAATAAAGGTTTATTTAGAGAATGAATAGTACTTGATTGTTATGTTTGCACGGGTTTGCTCTCGAGTTTTGAGCCTTAACACCTATGATCTATTTCTCTCCTCTCCTACCACTGGCACCTGTTTTGCTGTGGGCACCCTGACCACCTGTCCCACTTGATGCTCCCTTCTTAGTTTTTGTGCTGTTGAAAGTGATTTTTTCAAACCCATTCAGTTCTAAATAAGTTATAATGGAGTTAAAATGTTATCTTTTGCTACTTTCTCTACCACTTTCTGATTGTATTTAAATATAAAGACACAAAGACCCAAAAATAACATGGTGGATTATACAAGAGATACTCTACAGCTGCCATTTTTAGTGTATCAAATGTTTTCCAGTTTAGTAGTGCAGATGGTCTGGTCCAAAGTTATGGTATTGAACATTTCCCCCTGATGTTTCTGTCTCTACATTCACTGGAAGCAAGTTTCTCCATACTACGGCATCAGGAGCTCCTTAGCTAAGATCCATGAATGGCCCAATCTTGAACCTAGGTTCCTACAAACAAACAGAGGAAGAGCTCTTTGTAGCCCAGTGAGTTCTGTCATTATTGGATCCTGATTGATGAACTTCATTCTGATTTTTACAAAAAAAAAGTACATGAACATTTTGTAAAAAGCCACCAGAGGTTTAAAAAAAAAAGACAGGCAAGTGTCTCTTGGATATCTCTCAACTTTTTCTATTGTTCACATTTATTTGCATTTATTGCCTGCCCCTCCATTGCACTTGATGCTTGAGAGAATTTCTGCTCCTTCATCCCCTCTGTTTCTCCTTTACCAAAATCAATCTCGTAGGACTAAACATATTGATGCAAAACCTTATGATTGATTGAGATGTGCTTGGGAAAGACAAATTTTTGACTAAGGAATTATGAAGTTATCCAACTCAGTTAAAAATGCATTGTTTTAATTTAAATGAAGTCAATCATTTATTGGCTTACATATTGACAATATTTTCATGAAAATATTACGTCAATCACAAAAGCCCTCAATTTAAAGTGTCTAGAAACTGAGTGATTTTATCTCAGTCACTGCTTCAAAACAGAGCTTAGTTTAATTATTCAGTTGAAAGCTTTGAAACTAATGTTTGTTCTCCCTTATGTTTAAGAGTGGAATTATCACAATGGTGATTGATGGTTCCCAGCAAGTAATACTGAGATAGGTCCACAAACAAGTACTTTTCTTCAACGAATAAAGCGCAGATGTTGGGGGAAAAAGGCTTGCATTGGAATGGGAGATTTCAAATCTACCACAGCAGCCACACACATCATCATCTGGGAGACTTCTCTTACTATAGAACAGTACAGAGGTGGATTGAATGTGGCATCAAGTAGAGGCATATGCCCACTAACCACGAGTTGTGAGGAACCTCCAGCTACACAAGTCAGCACTGGCTCAGAGGTAGGATATCAGACCATGTCTCAGTGATCCCTGTGTGCCAATAAGCAAGGGATGTGGAGTGAAAGCTCAGGCACTCAGCCCTAGTCGAAGGTGGGCACCACATTCTCTGAACTGCTTTAGTGACCAAGAAAGCAGCTTTCAGGTCAATACATTCCTTGTCCTTTACATTAATTTATCAATGATTTTGGTTTCCTACCTATGAGAATTAGCACCACAATTAGGTATTACCCAATGTCATAAAATAAGCTGGTGACTATTGAATACACATGTTAAATCTACTTGTACGATGAGGCAAGCTTAGTTTAACTTGGCAGTAATGCAGATATGAGCTTTGGAAATCTATTTTAAAGCCATTTGTTTTAAATCCACATCCAACAACAGTGTGCTGGTGCAAGTGAAAGTGATTTTGGAAATGATTAAAATAAATGCATTGAAAATTAGAAATTCACATTCACGATTTGTCCTTTCGGAAAGCGGAGACCCACGATGCAGTGCTAGCATTGTTTCTTGATATTAAAATTTGACACAGTACTCAAATTGCCGGCTGCATTGTGTCTGATACCGAAGACTGCTGGGTGAACCTGCAGAACAGATGCCTCCGGCACTAAACTGGCATCTTCTCTCACACTCAATAGAGGTGTTCAATTGGAGGGTAATAGATTTGCTGGTCAAGCTCACACTCTGAAAAACTCAAATTGGTAGCAGACTGTTTGTTATCCTTCGTAACATTTGTGCTGGATACATCGTGTGTGCAGTTCAGCAGGTCAAAGTCTTTGGTGAAACACAGTTCAATTTGGGCCAGGATTTGAGCTGAGTTTCCCTGTGGCTGAGGAAGTGGAGGTAACAAAAAAAAGAAGAAAATGAAAACAACTAAAAATATCTGAGCATGCCTAACATGAAATTATAATTAAGCAAAAGCCTTTTCAACTGGACTGGCATGCAACTGCAGCCTCAAATCTGAAATGTAAATCATTGTTTAACCTTAATCCCAGATTTGAAGAGATTAAAATTTGCTGCGAACACTAAATAATTCCTTGCAATTCCATCAATGTAACAACCCATTACTTAACACATACAATGCATAATCACTCAACACAGTCAGTTGTCACGTTACATCAGTCTACAGTAAGGCTGGCTGGGCAAGAAATATAAAATATGAAAGAAAAACAGAAATGAAATTGAAACAAGATCAAGATCTCAGTATAACCTGAAACCGGGTTTCAGTCTGAACTATCAAGGTCAATATAACAGAAAGCATAAATTACCTTAAGGCACTGAATTTTCGGCGTAACCCCATAGACTGACACGAGGGCATTTTCAATGATCTCCAACTAAACGTGAGAATATTATAGTTAGAGATACAGCCGACTGTGTAATTCACAGCAGAAAAGCAAGGGGCTGAGAAAGGTCAAACACCAATAAGTGCTTACCGTATAATACTTGGACGATGGGAGAATATCTAACTTCTTAAGAACACTGAATAGAAAGAATGGTCAAAGGCTAGTAAATAAATTGTTGCATTAAAATAAATATCCACAAGATTTTGCAATGATAATATCATTATCCCAATGATATCCATTGGGACAACAATAGTTATCAGATCTATTCTCATCACTGAAGGACTGAGCAAATGGAGTTCTTAAGGGGAGAGATAAAAGGTGGCTGGGAAATGAGTGGAAAGGAGATGTGTGCTTGTGACAATAAGCATGCGTACAAATACAACAAATGCTAGCACAATTGGTTATACAAGGAGGCAAACAAGTGCAGTTAAGGAAATTGAGTGTAATATTGAGTTTGGTGAGTGGGAGGTTTGGTGAAGGGGGTGTGAAAAGAAGCTGTGAGTTTGTTCCCTTTTGCTTTTCAACCCTTCTGGTCCTGAAAGGATTGGCTCTTGCTCTACAACAGGGCAAGGAGCTAGCTGTTCTGAGAGTATCTGGCAAATGGTTAAGATCTATTCTATAGTATACAAATTGGTGGTACAGTTAAAAAGCAGCATAATTAAGGAATGTAATTGAATAATTAAACATAATTATGTATTGCAGAACAGATATTGTCTTCATTACCTGCAAGGGATTATGGCATGGACTTCCATGCATAACAAAAAAGTGATACCGGTTGTATGTGCTGCAGAGGAATGCGATTGGTTTATTGAGGCAAAGTGGACGAGACAATGGGAAGAATGGGATGGGGTCTGGTGGTATGTGGATCCGTGGGTAGCAAATCAGTAGATAATGAGGACTGTACATCAAGGCTACAGCTCATGAGAGCTTTTTGACACTCTTGGGAATTATTGACCATCCCTAACGGTAACCGCAAGGTGGAACAATGTATACAAGAATACAAATGTATACAAGGTATTGGATGCTTGTACTATAGGCATGGCAATAGTCACGGGTGGATTTTAATCTACAAACAAACGGAAACAAAAACAGTTCTAGGCAGTATCAGCTTAGATGAGGGTCTCACAGAAAGCCTTTGAGGTAGTTTCTCAGAGTAGCACAATCTGGCACCAACCAAAATGCACGCTATGATATAATGCTGTCTGATGAAACAGAATTAATTAATGACTACAGTGTAAAGGTGTCCCTACATAGCAGTGAACTCAATGCCATCGAAATTTACATTGTTTGAAAGGGAGAAAAATGGGGCTGGGAGTAGTGTTAAATAAGGGCAACTATGTCAGTATAAAAGCTGAACTTGCTGTAATGATCTGGAATATTAGGTTGATGGATAGACCAATGCAGCTGTAGAGGGAGATATTTAAGAGGATCTCTCAGATTATATATATGCCTGCCATTACAAAATATTCTAAAAAGGAGGACCCACAGTTAACTAAAGAAGTTAGGGAAAGCAAACTTGAGTAAAAAGCATATAACTGCACAATTATGAGTGGCAGGTCAGAATATAAAGAACAAAGAATGACCAAAAAGTGAATCAAGAGAAAAAACTTTCCACATATGAAAAAGTATGAGACTCAGCCAGTTAGCAAGACTATCTACAGGTATTTGATAAGAATAAAAAAAAAACTGTGTTGATCGTCTAGAGAGTGAAAATGGAAAGTTAATGGCAGATAAAATGAACAAACATGTTGTTTTGGTATCCTGCCTCAGAAAATGGTGGAAGCAGGATTATTAAATACTTCCAAGGCAGAGGCAGATAGATTGTTGTTAGGCAAAAGAATCAAAGGTTATCAAGAATACACGGTAACATGGAATTGGATACAAACATCAGACACTACCTTAAGGCTCTTGTGGATTTTTTCCCCTTGGCTTTGGACATGTTGAAGGATTGACGGAAAAAACCTTAAAAAATTCCACTTGGGCCTGCTTTAAAAGCAATCGCAAGGGTTTGGCTAAGAGTCTGAAATCAATTTAAAGTGGGGATGAAGAGCAGACGTGGTTACCTGTTCAGGTTGATTTTATGGTATAGGTCCAGTGCTTTGCTGAAATACTTGTTCTGGGTGTCCAGAGATTGCAACGTAGCTGCACATGTTCCGTGTTTCTGCCACTCGTGTTTCCTGTACGGAGAGGTGGATGTGGTTAATGGGAGCAACCTTTCACCATCTTTACAGCCCAGGCTACATTCTACATTGCTGACAGATTTCCTTACTCTTCCAATGTTGCTTATTCAGCTTGTGCCAAGATCCGACTGCACAGCTACCTCTCTTCTTTCAAGACTCTCCTTAAAACTCACCCCCTTTTGACCTGACTTCTGAGTGCCCCACCTAAAATCTCCTCCCCCCGTCTTGATACCCATGTCCAAGTAAAGTTCTAAGGAGCGTTTTGGGATTTTATTTTTGAGTTAAGGTGCTGCATAAATGAAGCAGATATTCACCAAGACCAGAGAATTTCCTTCGAGTGTGGGCCTGAACAGTGACGGCTTCATCCTTGTGTGTAAACTGAATTCCCTCCCAACTAGAGGGCCATGGCCATTGCAATAGTAATGGAGACAGAAACTCAAGCTGATAACATCCACTAAGCCCACAGGAGTGAAATGCCCCCTTCCTCTTCACTGGCCTGGTGGGGTACAGTCGACCAAACTGCATGCTATACTAGACTCTATATTGTCTAAACATAACAGGATTAATTAGTGACTACAGTGTAAATGCACCCTGGGTAGCAGTGAACTCAATGTCATTGACTTTTACATTCAGTTTGAAAGGGAGTAAAATGGGTCTAAGACTAGTGTTTCAAACTTAAATAAGGGCAACTGTGTCAGTATAAGATCTGAACTTCCGTAATGCACTAAGTTAATAGATAGACCAATGCAGATGTAGAGGGAGCTATTTAAGGGGATCTCTCAGATATATGCCTGCTATTACAAAACATCCCAAAAGGAGGACCCACAATTCAGAGCTAACTAAAGAAGTTAGGAAAAGCATCAAATCTCAGTCGTCATTCAGCATGAGGGAACAACTTCAGGACACTTCCATATCCATAGGGATCAGTAGCACTTGAAGGGTAACTCCCAAGTTGGGGAAAGAACAATCCACTTTCATGGTCTTTGGACATGTTTCTATTTCCTCAGCTTTGTCAGAGCTGGTCAAATCCTGCAGACACATCTAGGAGAACTACTAATTCTTCAGCCTGCTTAGCTGGCTCTGTGCGACCTACCAGTATGAAACCATAGCCCCGAAGAACACAAGGGACAAAGGATATCAGCATTGCAATCAGAGGGAGCAACAGGAGTTTACAACAAATGAAGCTTTTGTCTTTCCTGTGGCAGTGATGAGATAAAGTGAAGACTACATGGAAGAGCTAACGATGAAGAAAAGTTAAACAATGAGCAACCAGTCCTGTGACTTGCGACAGTGACTGGGGGTGTGTGCAGATATCATATGATCTCAAATGGAATTAGATGTTAGAATGAGATTCTGTCCCAGAAACTTAATTCTTCATGAGATGTGGGCATTGCTGGCAAGGCCAGCATTTATCATCAATCCCCAATTACCCTTGCTCAGACATTTCAGAGGGCAGTCTCAAGTGTAGACAGGACAGAGTGAGGATGGCCGATTTCCTTCCCTTCAGGATGGGTTTTAAGAGTCAAATCAATGATAATTTAATTGTCACCATCAACGGAGAGGAGCTTTCCATTCCATTTTCTTTCTTTTATAAAATGAATAGAATTTAAATTCTACCAGCTTCCATAGCAGGATTCAAACCAACGCCACCAGAACATTGGCTGGTCCAGTAGATATGACCACTAGGACCACCAACTGCTCTTGTTGATGAATCCAGGGACCCTTCCTAAAAAAAAAAGGGAATTATTTTGGCAAAGACGAAATAACCTGTTACAATCCCCGTAGAAATCAGTAATTTTTTTTAAAAGAAATTTTAACTTGTAGTGACTGGCAAGAAGGATCACGTGAACCAGGATTTCAATTTTCAGAATTCTGCTGTAACAAACACCAATTCTGGTCACCCTGTTATAGGAAGAATATTATTAAGCTGGAGAGGGTTCAGAAAAGATTTACCAAAATGTTGCTGGGAATGGAGGGTTTGAGCAAAAAGGAGAGGCTGGATAGGCTGGGACTTCTTTTTTCACTGCAGTGTAGGAGGTTGAGGGGTGACCTTATAGAGGTTTACAAAATTATGAGGGGGCATGGATAAGGTGAATAGCAGGTGTCTTTTCCCTAGGGTGGGGGATTTCAAGACTATTTTGGTATCCTGCCTCGGGAAATGGTGGAAGCAGGATTATTAAATACTTCCAAGGCAGAGGCAGATAGATTGTTGTTAGGCAAAAGAATCAAAGGTTATCAAGAATATTTTTAAGGTTAAGATGAGAAAGATTTTTTTAAAAATATAAAGAGACATGAGGGACAATTTTTTTTTAAACAAACAGTGGTTTGTGTGTGGAACTGAACTTCCAGAGGAAGTGGCAGGTGCAGGTACAGTTACAATGTTTAAAAGACATTTAGACAAGTACTTGAACAAGCTATGGACCAAATGCAGGCAGGTGGAACTAGTTCAGGATTTTGGTCGGCCGGGTCTGGTTGGACTGAGGAGTCCGTTTCCGTGCTGTATGACTCTGTGACTAAAAGCAGCATTGACTAAACACTATTTCAACAGGCAACTTGCTGCTACAAGAAGTATTTCCCAGATAACATAACTCAAAATCTCCTTCCATGGTTACGGCTTACTCCGTTCCTCAGGCTGAGGCTTGATTCTCCAGGAAACAGAGCAAAGCTACTCTCAGCTCCTCTGCCCTGTTTCATGCTGGGTAGCCAACTTAGGATAAGGGTACGAATTGTGGATTCTGACCTCAAGACAAAGATTGGCAAATATCTCAGCTTCATCACAAACATGGCCTCTCCAATCCGAACGATTCTAGAAACGATAGAGCACATTTTAGCTTCTGGCTGTCCACAGATGTTGAAGACATGACTGACCATCCACCCACAGAGCGATGGCAGTAGCAGTGGTGGTCCAAACCTCAAATGGAGAGATTTCACTGACCAGGCCCTTGGTTTGCAGCTTGAATCCAAGAAACTCTGCAGGTGCACTTATCTGTGGCTTTGTGATTAATGCACCTTTGAACCACATATGCTCCAAGTACTTGAATGTCCTTTACTTTTTGGAAGTGCAAAAAAACCTGTTTGTCAAGGGGTAAGTTAGAATAAAACTGAACAGAGGTTGTATTCAATTGCCAATGGGGATGCTGACACCTGACAATGCAGCACTCCCTCGATACTGCATCGTATGCTCTTGCACAGAACGCAAGATAACTGACAGAAGCTAGTGTTAAATGTCCACTTGTGACTATTTTCCTATTGGCTGAGAATAACAGAAGGTCCATTGAATAATGGAGCATTTACAAAGAGGCATACCAGAGCCGAGTACTGTTGGGATGAAGCACATCAGGCCACCACAGTTTTAATTCAGATAAAATGTCCTGCAGGAAAAGAAGAGAACCATCAGGAGTTGTAACCATAGCTATCACCCTTCAGACTGAAAGTGCAGTGAGACCTGGAGTGCACTTGACTCAGACATGGATTATGAACAGCAGGACCTTAATCTTAAATATTCCTTCCATCACCAAAGTCAAAGTCAGTCAGTACCCCCACTGCCCGGGTTCAACGTGAACTGGCACTGTGGAGAGCAGAGATTGGACTCTGCTCCCTGCAGGTCTAGTCAAACTAAATGCAGCAGAACCTGTACTGGCAGGTGGTGACCATGAGGGTCAGCAGCTGGAACAGTCAAATGGCCACTTGCTGATAAAACATATCTTAGGTGGGAGGAGGGCTTATGGGAAAGGGCAACAGATAGATCAAGCACTTCTCAGCCCAGTGTAACTCAGGCTTCACTCCATGTACATACTGTAAATAGTCTCCTGCTTAACCTTCATTTCCCTTTGATTTGTAGCGACCTGATGTCAATGGAATAATGAATTCCTGCTCATGATCTTTGAGCCTTCTGTGTTTTCAAAACTGCCATTACATGATCATACAATGTAGCTGCTCATCTATTTCCCCGCGCGCCCCCCGCCCGCAAGAGAAACCAACTTTAGTGAACTCTCTCAAACATTTCAAAGAAATGTCTTCATGCCAAGACTGAAGCTATCACAAGGTTTGTTTTGTTTCAGTGAATACAGGCCATCCTTCGCTCTTACAATAGACAGCCCTGAACAATGATATACTCCAAAATCATGATTTAGCATCAATGAGCAGCGATTTCACTTACATATGATCATTAGAAACAGAGGTAGGCTTTGTAGCCCCTTTGCCAATTAGCAAGGAGCAAACAGGTCTTGAAAGAAAACAGAATGAGATTACCTCTACCAAGGCCTCTCCGTGTTACCAGGTCTTACCTCAAGTTCAGATTCAGGCTATGATTAACCATATAACTGCAACGTTAGTGAAAGCAAAATCACTACTCACCAACACTTGAGCTTTGTATAAAATTAAAGTTGAAAAGGTTATTTAAATGTTAAAACCTGCAGATATCAGAACTCCATGTAATGGCAAAATGATATAGGTTACATTACATGTACTTCAATTAAAGTATAAACCCCAGTTTATTATTTCATTTTGCACATCACATTGCTTAAAAATAAATGGCAACATGCCCAAGTAAACATTTGGAGGGCCCAGTGTACGAACACCAACGTAAATGAAGCTAAATACTCACCATTACATTTTGGATTTCAAAATGCCAGGAGTTGTTGCACATCTCATCTCTTTTGGGCCTATTAAAAAAAACACAAGTTGAGTATTATCAGATCAGCCACGATCATAGAATCTATACATTTTGGAAACAGGCCCTTCAGCCCAACAAGTCCACACTGACCCTCAGAGCATCCCACCCAGAACCCATCCCTCTTTAACTCCCCTAATCTACATATCCCTGAACACTACGGGCAATTTAGCATGGCCAATCCACCTAACCTGCACATCTTTGGACTGTAGGAGGAAACCAGAACATCCTGAGGAAACCCACGCAGACACGGGGAAAACGTGCAAACTCCACATAGACAGTCGCCGGAGGGTGGAATTGAACCTGGGTCCCTGGCGCTGTGAGGCAGCAGTGCTAACCACTGAGCCATCATACTGCCCTCTTACTGAATGGCAGAGTACACTTGACGGGCTGAATGGCCTACTTCTGGTCCTACATCTTATCGTCAGAATAGTTTTGCGCAATCAGGTCCTGTTTTATTTTGAGCAAGCTTGTTCTTTTTAACATTAAGATTGTTCTGAAATCAAAGCAGGAAATAAAGAGCAGTAAAGGCAAGTTAACGTTTCACCTATAAATTTATATAAAATCTGAAATTTCTGACACTTGGAAGGTATGTTAATTTCTCCCAAATTGAGGAGGGACAAGGAGAGAAAGAAGGGGCAAAAAAGAGAAAAATAAAATCAGTGTGCGAGCATTCTGTAGCTGCTTGAGAAACAAAAGGAGGAGACAAAAAAAAAGAAAAAAAAACGTGAAAAGGAGAGAAAAGGAGGGAGAAAAAGGAGAGAGAGAAAAGAAGAGTCAGAGATAAAATTTTAAAAAGTACATGAAAAATCTCCCAAAACACCTCTGAAACAACAAGTTACTTTCAGTTGTTGCCACCTTGTTGGGTCGAGGCAGCACATTTTGCCTGCGCTTCCATATGCGTCTCATTTTAAAGGCCGGAAATTCAATTTGCAGCCTCCATCTCGCACAGTAATCTGCCTCCTCCATCTGGAGCAAAGTTGATGTTAATTGAAAAACTGGTGCTCATGTGGATGAAGGTAACATGTGGAATTCCTCAATCCAAACTATCTGCAGCAGGAGAGGAAAAAAATCCTCCAATTTCCCTTGCAATCAGGTTTATAAAAATAAAGGGCATGAATAGGGTGAATAGCCAAGGTCTTTTCCCCAGGGTAAGGGAGTCCAAAACTAGACGGCATAGGTTTAAGGTGAGAGAGGAAAGATTTAAAAGGAATCTGAGGGGCAACTTTTTCCACAGAGTGTGGTGCACGTATGGAAAGAGCTGCCAGAGGAAGTGGTGGAGGCTGGTACAATTACATCATTTAAAAGGCTTCTGGATGGGTACCTGAATAGGAAGAGTTTAAAGGGAAATGGGCCAAATGGGTCTAGATTAATTTATGATATCTGGTTGGCATGGACGAGTTGGATTGAAGAGGCTGTATCCTGCAAAATATTTAATTTCTTGTTTCAATTGAATTTTGCTGCAGTGCTAAAAATCTCTCAAAACGGACTAGTGCAAGTTATTGCATGCATTGATTAGTGGATTTCTTAAGGATGGAACTGAGTCTGGGAGATCAAGTAACGACGTTTGATAGGAGTTGGCTAAGCAATGACCCACTGTGCACACATTTAAGGAACAGGGTGTTTTTCAGAAGCTGTTCAGGATGCGGGCAATTTGTTATTCATCCTCAGCTGATCAACTGACTTATTGTGCAATTAAAGTAACTCACGAGGGCACTCCAATAGGTTAACAAGGCAGTACATGACTGGAGTCACGTGTCAACTCAAACCGATAGGATAGCTGATTCCCTCCCCTCACAGACAACCATGAGACAAGCTTATTAATAGCAATCTGCTTTTCCTCCTCGTTCTTTTCCCTTCCCTTGACTAGATTTTACAGAATTTAATTTCCTGAGCTTGCAACCAACCTTGGGGTCCCTGACCTGTGGACAGTCACGCCCTGGGAAGTGACCGGGGGAGAAAAAAAGGTGGAAATTCTTTGTGGTAAAGGAACTAAGACCCAATTCTTTTCTTTATTCCTTCGCGGGATGTGGGCTTCGCTGGCTGGGCCCATCCCTAATAGCTTTGAACTGAGCGGCTTGCTCAGGGGCTGAGCCGAGGGCGTGGAAAAGATTGCCCAGCGTTATTCAAAAGGAAAAGCAAATGGGGTTTTCCACATTGCTCTCTCAAACGCCACCAGCAAGAAACAGAATTGTTGGTAACTCATCTCATTTGCTGTTTGTAGGGTCTTGCTGAGTGCAAAAGGCCTACAAACCAACAGTGACTACATGCCAGAATTCAGTGATGGTGGAGTACTTTATAGACATAATAAAATATGACATAGATGGTGAACAGGAATTTCACTATTTGTAATAGGATATGAATCTAGATGTTTGCTTACCAAAGTCCATGAACTGTCCAGTAATCAATATTTTGAGGAACTTTGCATGTTTCACTCACCATCTGAGACAGAAAAAGACATATGACTTCTCAGAAAATTTAGGGTTATTTCAAAGTCAACTCCACTGTAGAGTTTAGTCCTGGAAAACTATCATACACTGAAGGTCCCTTTACAAAATGGTAACACAATTACTGTGACCTCATCCCCAACAAAACCAACTCCCCTCTCAAAGGGGCTGTTTGTCAAAACTCAAATAAGAACAAACTACTTAAATGTGGGCAAGACCGTGTTGGCATAGTGCCAACATCAAGCAGTTATCATGTTGTTAGATAAGGCTCTCCTTCTGGAGGACACTTGGGAGTGGAAACAATATCAGTAAGTAGCAACTTTACTTTGCCCAAGGTCATGGGGTCAAACAATTCTTCAACTAATCAGAACCACTCACTGGGTGCATGTGATCAATCACATCAAAGGCTAGAACAGGTGGAACTAACCTCACAACTTTGCAAAGGCTCTCTGCCTCATTCCCTGTCATTAAAAACCTCCCAGGAACCAATCTCAAATCATAATTTCTGCTCTTCTTCACAACATCCATTTCTCTCCCTCAATTCTCAGCCTTTGCTCCTCTCTGTGAATCACTTATCAAAATACAAATTAGATGTTGGAGTAGGCCATTCAGCCCCTCAAGCCTGTTCTGCCATCTAATAAGATCACCTCAAACCCGCATTCCCACAAGCCCTTGATAAAGGGTAATCAGGTTCTTCACAAAGATTGGTATGAATCACTTAAAGTGACCTAAAAGAAAATCTCAAAGTATTTTACCGTAAGGGCGAGGAGTCCTTTTTTTGTTTAAAAAAAAACTGATTTCTGTTGGCAAATCGCTCTGTTCCATTCAGAAATGAGAACTTCCCTCAGTAACGTTCTGAGCTGTTCTGTCCCTTGCTCCCCTAGTGCTATTGACTCTTCTGGTTCCACGAATGTCCGACTAACACCTGGCTACCTCAGAAACTAGCCCAGGCCAGTCAACAGTCAAGCGTGAGCCTTAACAGCAAATGGCTGAAACGTACCCGAGTCCGGGAGAAACTGCAAGCTGCATGCACCATGATCTCTTGCTCACTTCGGACAGGAGTCATTGGTTCAATTATCCCTCCCCTAAACCCTTAGGTACCAACATCAACTACAGCAGTTTCCCTTTTAACCTGATCTAAAACAGTGATTGGAGCCAGGCCACTCCTGGTCTCTTTGTCTTGGTTGGTCATTGACATCCAATTTGTTTTGAAATATTTTCAAAATTTAGAAGTCACGTGCTGTAAGTGCTTAGACATATAATCATAGAACATACAGAGTGAAGCAAGGAATCGCACACAGTAACAGGAGCAGAAATAGGTCTTTCAGCCCATTGAGTCTGCTCCATCATTTAATGAGATTGTGGCTGATCTGATAATCCTCAACTCCACTTTTCTGACATTTCCCATAATCCTTGATGCCCTCACTGATTAAAAATCTGCCTATCATATTCGTTAATATACTGAATGACCCAGACTTCACAGCTTTCTGCAGTAAAGACTTCCACAGAATCACTACCCCCTGGAGAATAAAATTTCTTCTTATCGCTGCCTTAACTGGGCAACTCCTTATTCTGAGATTACACCCTATAGTCCTAAACACTCGCACAAGAGGAAAACCACCTCTCTGTACCTATCCAGCCGAGCCCATTCTTTAATTAATGGAATGTGGGTGTCGCTCAGCATTCACAGATCAGCTCTAATTACCCAGAGGGCAGTTAAGAGTCAACTACATTGCTGTGGGTCTGGAGTCACAGACCAGATTGCTGTAAAATCCTATCTGAATCACAATCAACAATGTTTACATGGTCAACATCGGGTTAGCTTTTTATTCAAATCCAATTTCACTACCTGACATGGTGGGATTCCAACACATGTCCCCACAACATTAACTTGGGAATTCTGGATTACTAGTCCAACGACATTACCTCCAGGCCAATGCCTCCCTTGGAATGAGAATCTTGTATGTTTCAATAAGGTCTCCTCCCATGACTCCAATGAATACAATCCCAACTTACTCAACTTTTCCTCAGGAAAATCCCTCCAGAACCAGAATCAACCTACTAAATGTTCCCTGGACTGCATAGATTCACATTATGCAATTTACAGCAAAAACACAAAGACTGACTTGTAGTAACGCATGGAGCTTTGATGAGGAAATATTGTACAATTCTACAATATATTGTACAATTCTAATTGCAATTGATCATTCAGCTGATTCATACATAAATAAGTTTTGCACTGACTCAAACAGATTCAAGTAATATATGCAAGAACTAGATTAAAAGTAGGCAGAATAAAATGAAATAAAACGATAATCAACAAACTTTGCAGATCTTTGAATTATAGAACACTTTTTTAAAAACAAAAAATTTCTAATTCAAGCAAAAGAGGGAGAAGTAAAATCATTAAACGCCACACACAGACTCACCAAACACACAGTCTGAGGCCAATGTTGAGACAAAATGAGTCTGTTCCATGGGTGATTTTTACTACAAGAGAACAAAAACTATAGTTAGCATATATTTTCATCAGTTAACATGCCTTAACTTCTTATTGGTGATCTGAAATTTTGCTGAATGTCCATAGCTGATGTGAATTGCACATCAAATTATTCACAGGATACACCACTCTTGTGACAATGGACTGCGCAGATAACATTCAATCCTTTTGTCAAGATCAAACTTAGCATGAGGATGGGAAGCAGAACTTAGGTGCTCAATTGATCTTCAGGAAGGGGAAGAGGAGGCTGTGTGAAGCAACGTTCCCGTTCCTCATTATTCAACAACCTGTGCTGCAAGCTGAATCTGTGTAAAAGATAATGGTATGCTGACCCCACCGCTGAATAGCTAGTTATCACTCACCATCTGAGATCAAGAATGGCCAACTATCAGAGGGTTGCCGTCCCTGAAAGATTCACAGACCAACACAGAAGCCCAGGCTTCAGGAATTGAGAGCAGGAATGACGTGATGAGACTAGAATGAATGACTTTTTAAAATCCCCATGCAATATACTTGCTTATTCAAAAACAGAAATAGTTGGAGAAACTCAGCAGGCTTGGCAGCATCTGCTTTCTCTCCACAGAGAGAACATTTCGGGTCTATCTACTGTCCTTCAGAACTAATTGCAGCTAGAACAATATTGATACATATGCCAAAGATTTTGTGTGCGCGCGCATGTCTGTAAAGAGGTGGAGGAGGAGTAAGTGATAGGTGGAGCTCAGAAAGTGAGAACAGCAGATGCAGAAACAAAAGAATGGATAATTGTGAGCCTGGGTGAAAGAAAAGCAGTTAGTGGGGACCAACATGGGTGGAAATGGGTTGGCTATGGTGGAAGCAGCCCATGGGATGACAAGGCTTGGTGTGTGGGGGAAGGACATGGAAGAAGACAAGAGGATCAGAAAAACCTCGTGACAATGTGAAAATCAATGGAAGATATGCGGGTTTTAACCCAGCAATTCAGACAAAAGATTCAATATACAATTGAGCTTTATGTATTATGGGGAACATGTAAGGTTATAAGGGCATGTCATTATAACAGGTTTCCTCCTTGAGAAAGTGTATCAAGGCTATCGTACAAAGATACCCCAGGCTGCAATGGAGGACAAATGCTGAGCTGATCACACACCAATGTACAAGGCTTTGCTTACAGTCACTTGAGATTAAAGTAAGGGGTAGCTCTGTGCAAGTTTATATGTGGAGATTTTTATAAGTTATTAATTCATGGGACGTGGGTGTCATGGCTGGACCATCAGTTATTGCCCATCCCCTTAGTTACCCTTGAGAAGTGGTAATGAGCTGCCTCTGGAACCACTGCAATCCATGTGCTGTCGGTTGACCCACAATGCCATTAGGGAAGGAGTTCCAGGATTTTGACCCAGCAACACTGTAGGAACGGTGATATATTTCCAAGTCAGGATGGTGAGTTGCTTGGAGGTGAACTGGCAGGTTCTCTGCTGCCCTGTCCTTCTATTTGGTAGTGGTCATGAGCTGCCTAAGGAGCCTTGATGAATTTCTGCAATGCATCTTGTAGATGGTACACATTGCAATTTTTGCAAGGCAATACCGTCAGGTGGTCACTTTTAGTTTCATTTCTGAAAGGAAATTATAGAAATCTTTGTCTCAAGTTGTTAGCCCTCGTGTCAGAATTCAATTGTTTGACAAAGCCTGCATTTTCCAGTGTCACTCACTCACCTGGATAATGGTAATGATAATGTTTTCCCATTTTCCCTTATTCCTCCTTTTCCTTCATCCCACCTACCTAACCCATTGTTAAATGCTGATATCGTTTCTGTTTCAATCACTAACATTGGTTGTGAAGTCTACAGCCACACAAATCCTGTGTACTAAAATGTCTCTCCAGTTCTCTATCCTATGTCTCTGGCATTTCATGGTATATTTACATCTGATCTTGCTTAAGCGCTTCAAAGAGCACAGTTGTTGCACTGAAACTCACATCATCCCTCAGTTGATCTGAAACTGTTTGGCAAGCCCCATGGTTTATTGCTGCTGAAAGTAAAGTGTTACAAGATATGGTCCTTGACTTCAAAGTTTTGAACCTCTGCTTGCAGCTGCTGAAGTGAATTCATGGGGTCATGAGAGTGATTTGCTCAGTTTCAGACAATTCACCCGGTAGCGAGGCAGTGCAAAACCACTTTGTGACTGAAACCACAAACCAAGAACAGAACTGCTCAGTTCCAGTTCCAAGGTTGTGCTTTCAAAATACGACTTGCAAAACTACAGATAAATTATCTGGAGCAAAGCTAACAGCTGGATGAGGGCGAAGTAGTAATTCGTAGAATTCTATAACCGTGTAACCATTCATCTTATCATGCCTAAGCCAGCTCTTTGAGAAAGGAATTCCCTCTCTTCCCCCACAGCCCTGCAAATTTCCTTTCCAATTTTTTTTTAATATATTTCAAGAGACTCCTGAAAAGACTACACATAGAGGTCTATGAATTCCAAATCCTTACAACTCATTGTGTAACAATATGTTTCCTCATCCTCCCTGTTGCCTAACTAGTATTTTATAAATATTTATCATGACTTTCTCAGAATACAATAAAAAGTCAAGGATCCTGCATTTTTTTTTCCAAATCATACAGCTGATCAACTTTTCCTAACACCTCCCATGTTTTAGGTTTCTAACTCCCCTTCCACCCTACCCTAGGTTTCACTGTTCACTATTGTACCAAAAATCCATACTGTCACACACTGATTCTAACAGACACCTCAAATTCCTTTCTGAAGAGGGAGGGTGTCCAACACTAGCCATTTCCAGTAACATCAAGATTGGAACTTTTGGCAACACTTTGCCACATGCCGTTTCACACTCACCAATCAGATGTCTCAAGAAGAACCATGGCAATAATCAGAAGCCAGACAAACGTGCACTTCCTCTGATTTTCTCTGTCTTTGCGATAAGCCATTTCACGTCAACTTGCCCTGCAAGCAAACAGATACAACTATTAGGGCTGTTCAATGCTTCATTATTCATTATGTTCTTGCAACCAAATGTTAGAGTTCTAGGTACAAATTCAACAAAAAGACCTCACAACAAGAAGCAGAGGATGTTGCAAGGTAGATTCAATGGAAACTTTAGTGCAGTGCCCAAGTGGCTATTACAAGGGACATTAACCTAGTGGTTCTGATCCTGGACTAGTAACTCAGAGGTCACGAGTATAATTCACACTGTGGCAAGTTGTGAAATTGAAGTCATTTAAAAAAGACTCATGACCTGGAGGCAGGAAAGAACGGTCATGACAACTATAGGGTTCTGTGGAGCATTCCTTTCACAAACAGAGACACACACAAACAAAACAAACTGTCTATCGAGTCTGAGCACATGGAACAATTTGTGACAAAGCTTTCCAGGAAAAGTTCCTTTTACTTAACAATATCAGCGTGAAAATTCAAATAAGTATCTGACAGCATCATTGCACTAATCCCAGTTTACACATGAGCATGTGCTTTAACTGTATACTTTACATATATGTACTTTATAAACTTTATATCTGACTTTCAACTCAAGGAATCAGACAGACACCAGCAAGTGCTACCTTGACACAGCTCCAATCGACAAAACAAATTGTTCTTGAGATGGAAACAGAAATTGCTGGAGAAACTTAGCAGTTCTTGATTGCAGCAGAATCCTTTTATGGCACCTTTAATTGCCAGGAAAAGACCTGGGTGTTAAATTGACACAACATTAACGTTCTATAAAAGGTGTCTCCTTGATGCAAAATGTCCAATGACTTGTTGAGTTCTTTGTCTAAACCATGGAGTTAAAACATATCCTTACGTTATCCAAATTCTATCAAACACCCTCATTCCCAGATGGTGTCAATAATATTTCCCGAAATCACTGTGGGCCTGAAGACATGGTGATTTATAAGGAATAAAAATATGTTCCTGCCCTGGTCTCAATTGCTATTTTACTTTGACCTTGCAAAAAAGTTACCAGCACATGTGTTTTGGTCAGCAGCAACTGAAACATGCAATATTTGTAATCGTACAATTGTGAAAACCCAATATTTTTTATCAATGTCCTTCAGGGAGAGGACCTGCTGTCCTTACTTGGTTTGTGATTCCAGTCCATCACTAAGTCTTAATCTCAGGGAAACTTGGTCTGGGCAGTAAATATTGGTTATTTCAGCAAGTTCAGTCTGTTTAACTGAGAAAGGAGTATGAAGCCAGGCTGAAACTTTTCCCTAACTAGAGGCCAGCCACGACAAAGAGAATGAACCTATTCCAAAGCCTCAGCTCGCTTATATGAAAATCTCTAACTCTCTTGTCAGACATACATCTAATTGGGGCTTGAGGGTAGTTCAACGTACAGTGCTCACTGTACTGAAGTGCTACCCTGCTCTTCTTGTGGAGAAACGACAAACAGACTGGGCTGAACGACCTCATTCTGTGCTGTGACCATTCTGAGATTCTTCAGAACTGTGGGGTGGAATCTTTTACTTCCAGTTGAGGGGTCTCAGTTTAACGTCTCATCTGAAAGACTTCACTGCGGACCTCCCTCCGTACTGCTTCTGTCAACACTGGTCTAGACTCTATCTGATTAAACTCTGACTCTCAGGCCAGCGAGGATGAAAATACAAATAGGAATCTCCATTGCTCCTGAATAACTGCTGGAGACATATTTTTACAAGAAAAATGGATGTAAAATTTAATTGGCCACAAAATTTGCATTAAACGAGAAATACAAATTTAACCGTACTGGATAGAAATTTGTGAAATTGAGTGCCACTAGCCTGGGAGAAAGGGAGGAACCAACGTTCTTTACAACATTGATGTACCTGTACTTGTGGATGGTACTTGTAAATTGTTGATTGGGCGAGAAATGGCGGATTCCTGGGTCAGGACGAGGATGCCTAACCACTAGATAAACTCGAGTAGACCATCGTATTTCCAATTCCCATTATCCCGGTTCGCCTTCAGGCACGGGCTAACCCGCAATTTGCTAAAGAAAAGCTGACTCGGGAAACAATGCGCAAACTCGTGAAACGGAGCGTGGCTGCACCCAGTCACACACTGTTGCAAGTTCAAACATATTTGTTGCCTGTGTGGTGCAACCAGAACAGTTCCCAAATCAAAACCAGTGGAAGCAAACATGAAAACAACATTTCTGCTCCACACACAATGGGAATGGTACAGGCATAAAACTTGCCACGAACACACACACGCGTAAAAGTACAGCCCAACAGAAGAAAGCCAGATCACAGATTTTTACTTTTTTTTTTAAAAGCCTCTGTTGCTGTCTCTGCCTCGGTTTGAGGTGTGTTAAATCTTGTATTTGTGAAGCTGGACTGCCCCAGTTATTGGACTGGTGGAGGTAGCGCAGAGTGCGGACCCTTTTAGGGATACTGCGTTCCGAGAAGTCGCCCCCCCCATCATCTACTGTCCTCGGGGTGGGGGAGAATAAACAGGACACGCCGCTCTCTGACCTACCTACCTATCCGCTCTCAACATCCCCTCTCCCGACCCTCATTAGGGTTTCCCAGTTGGAGTCCCCGCTCGCCCCCTCCAAAACATTCTGTTTGTGATACCGTCAGCTTTCCATACACTGTATCTGGCATATGCTACTCACCCGCCCCCTCTCTTTAGCAACAAAGAGTCACTTACTCCGTCTGCTCGCATCAGCCAGGTCCAGTCGTTGTAATGTAACATTCAGGCGGAACCAATGCCTGATGGCCGACTTCAAGACTCACTGGGTGGGGCCTCAGACTCATACTGATTGGTGTCAAGAGACTTTGACCCTCCCGGGGTTTACACAATCGTCACCGTTCAATTCTGCACCAGCTCTCTAAGCGTTTTAACTCATTGCACATCTCCTGCCTTTTCCCCGTAAACCCTACACGTTGTTTCTATTCCAATAATCTTCCAATGCCTCAGTTGAACCCGAAGACTGGCTACTGCTGAGTTGCAGACTGTATTGGGTAATGGAAATGCACAGCTAACCAACTGCTTCTGAAGTTCTTAAAGTTATTTTTTGTGTTACATTTCGTCCTGAGTCCTTTTATTTGCACCATCACTCAGACTGCCCATTTCCACACGAACATGATTTCATCCTTGTCTCAGCTCACCTGTTGCTGTAAATATTCACTGGTGTATTTGTTAGCTCCGTGTATAACTATTCCAACACCCTCCTAGATTCTATCTTCCCCAAACTTTAGATCATCCAAAGTGGCTCTGACCTCCATAATCATGAAGTGCTTTGAGAGGCTGGTCATGGCTCATATCAACTCTAGCCTTCCAGACTGCCTCGATCCCCAGCAATTTGCCTACCGGCAAAACAGGACCATAGCAGACATAATTTCCCTAGCCCTACTCTCATCCCTGGAACATTTAGATAGCACAGACACCTACGTCAGGCTCCTATTCATCAACAGCAGCTCCACCTTCAACACCATAATCCCTCACAGACTAATCTCAAAACTCTGAGACCTAGGTCTTGGCTCCGCCCTCTGCAACTGGATCCTCAGCTTCCTGACCCACAGACTGCAATCAGTGAAGATAGACAACACCATCTCTTCTGTGACAATCCTCAACATTGGCACCCTGCAGGAATATGTTCTCAGCCCCCTACTGCACACCCACAACTGTGTAGCCAAATTCTGCACGCATGCCATCTATAAGTTTGCTGACGACACCACCGTGGCAGGCTGGATATCAAACAATGATGAGCCAGAATACATGAAGGGGATAGAATGCTTGGTGTCGTGGTGTAATGATAACCTTTCAATATTAGTAAAACAAAAGAATTGATCACTGACTTCAAGAAAAAAGGAGGAGGACACACCCCTACCTACATCAATGGAGCCGAGATGGAGAGGGTCGAATGTCAAGTTCCTAGGAGTGATGATAACCAACAATCTGTCCTGGTCCTACCACGTAGATGCGATGGTCAAGAAATCACAGCAACGCCTCTTCTTCCTCAATAAAACCGAAAGGACTGCAGATGCTGTAAATCAGGAACAAAAACAAAGTTGCTGGAAAAGCCCAGCAGGTCTGGCAGCATCTGTGAAGGAAAAAACAGTGTTAACGTTTCGGGTCCAGTGACCCTTCCTCAGAACTCAGTTCTAACGAAGGGTCACCGGACCCGAAACGTTAACTCTGTTTTTTCCTTCAC